CTCTCTCTCTCTCTCTCTCTCTCTCTCTCTCTCTCTCTCTCTCTCTCTCTCTCAAGCGCGCGCGCTCTCTCTCTCTCTCTCTCTCTCTTTTTCTCTCTCTCGCTCTCTCTCTCTCCCTCTCTTTTTTGCTCACTCTCTCTCTCAAGCGCGCGCGCTCTCTCTCTCTCTCCTACACACTCCCTCACTCCAGCTTACTTATGTCTCTATATAATGCCTTTCAATTATCGTCATAAGCTCTATATTTCTCTCGCTTTCCTACGCAGATCAATCTAGTTATCTCTATTTTCTTCCGTTCTGGCTATTCCCCCTATTTGCTTCCTTATTTCGTGATTTCTTCTTTACCAAAGTGTGTCTCTGCCTTTCTATATGCTCACACTCTCCCATTAAGATTTCCTACAGCATGTACGTAAGCAAAAAAAAATGTCCTCGTGTTGGACTAATTTGGTAATTTTGTCTAAAAGTGTCACTGACGACGTCAAATATGTATTTCGGAAGAACCCTGGATGCACATTTCACTTCGCATTTTCATTCTCATTCAAGTTGCGTAATTCAGCTGTATTGGTGGTAGCTACTGGGAGCGGTGTGGGGTGTGTACTGGTGTCCCCGCAGAGGCCCTATCCAAAGCGTCAGTGTGTAAGCTATTAGCCATGTAAATAAGCCGTCTATACAAGCACCAGCGATATAAAGTGTCGCTAGCATTAAACGTTCATATAGTGCCATTAGTATTTAGGCGAGGTCTGTACTGACTCAAAATATCACCTGATGTGGCGTGCAACACTCAATTCTTCTGCGATTTCAAGCGTAAAATTTTCGATAAATGCGCACTAAAGATAACATTGCACGATATTTAAATTAGCAGCTATAGTCAAATTGAGCGAAATGGCAAATTTGCACATTGAGATCGTTGCTATTGTCCCAGTATAGAACGGCTGAACAACGCCAAATTAAAGACAGATTGAAACTATTTCAACCGTAAAATTCGACAACTTGAAAAGTTTCAATCTCATGGTATCTTTTAGAATACAATGCAGATGAATCGCTGGTGTGTTAACAGCTAGCACGCCACACGGGATTGCTTGCATAAACGATGACTTAACTAAGCAGAATGCTACCATTCTGCAGAAATAATTACAAAAATAAGTACGTCCACAAAGCACAAATGGACTATTTCTTCCAGTCTATTTCGATACCGTCAAAGCAGCGTGTCCGCACGTCAATGTAAACATCGCTGTTCTGCCATGAATACTTCCAGCTACTTGGGCAGAAAGGTCATGGACAATAGCGACGAGCAGTGGGTTGAGGGCATGACGACCATGTGTCATCCAGACTACTCATACTGGACACTGTCCTACGCACTGACGAACCGCGGTGCCCGCAAGCTGCTAGCTCAGAAACCACTACAGAAGATGGTGCCGGTGGACGAGTATCTACCGATCATGTTTAACAAGCATCCCACGTGAGTATAGGTGGCACCAGGTGATACATATCTGCTTATAATATGTGATAAATATATTATGTGTGCGTGTGGGTGGCACCGGTTGATACATATCTGCCTATAATATGTCATAAATATCTTATGTGTGAGTGTGGGTGGCACTGGTTGACACATATCTGCCTATAATATGTCATAAATATCTTATGTGTGAGTGTAGGTGGCACCGGTTGATACATATCTGCCTATAATATGTCATAAATATCTTATGTGTGAGTGTAGGTGACACCGATTGATACATATCCGCCTATACTGTGTATATAATATCCCATGTGTTAGTGTTGGTGGCGCCGGTGGACGGGTATGTCGCCCATGATGTTTGACCCACATGAGCAAATCAGGTGCTGGTCATGATCACCAAACAACCTGGTGGAGAATGGTGGTTACAAATCTTTTCTACCTGGCTTGACATCATTCCACCCTTTTCCCCTTTACAATCCTCCAGATTTTTCGACTTTTCTGCTCGTTATGTCATTGTGCAGTTGCTGATATACACATTTTAGTTGGGTCAGAATTGCTCCTTATACGCGCCTGCAGTACAATGTTCCCATTCATTCCCATACGTTTTTAGAAAGTTTCAGGATTCCCATGTTTCTCATATGGTTCGTTTATAAGATTTCTATATTACGCCACGAGTAATCTAACCGTTGTCATTCAGCCCCACCGAGACACAGCATGTCATCACACACGCGCTCTTTTGTTTCAGGTCTGAATGGAAGCATCCATTCTCACCACGGGACCTGCGGGCATACTCAGCTGCACCATTGCTCGTACATCCAACGCACTACACTAAGGAGCAGAATTACATCAGTGACACCGAGGACTCCATCGTCATAAACACAGACGAGTTTGGTGGTGTGCCGGCGGTGCCATCTGGTGGCCCACACACCGTAGACAAGCACGGCGAGCTTTAGCGCCAGTGCTGATGCAAACCCACCTATGAATGGTGTGAATGTTGGTTTGTGCCACTTCTTGTCAATAAGTGGTCATGGTCACTATACAAGGTCATGTTAACGAGTACTGTCTGACCTTGAATAGTGATCAACATCTGAGCCATGGCTGTGCCAAAATGTATAACTGTTTTTATAACCACAGTCCAATGTTCATTATTGTATTCGCGTATACGCGTTACATTATATTGAAACTCGTACACTAACCATGATTGTGCCAAATTCTATTGTTTTTTTTATAATCTCAAGATTAATGCTGGTGATATTGGAAACCATTGAATCTCAGTCTCAAAAATTGGAGACATATCTATTTTAGTACTACAATCATTTAGATGATAATTCTTGTTATTTAAACATGCCCGTAGAATGAGGTCTGTGTGCACAAATCAGATTTTGGAGAAATTGGAGACATATCTATTTTAGTACGACAATTATTTAGATGAAAATTCTTGTTATTTAAACATGCCCGTAGAATTAGGTCTGTGTGCACAAATCAGATTTTGACCATCGTCAGATTTTGATTATTCGTGGTCACATGATAACAGGGTCATTTAGATGTGATCATGTAAATTTATAATGCTGCCATACCTCATCTTAAATGGATGAGTCCCACCACGCTGAACATGACATCATTTTAGTTTAATCTTATAGCCTACTCAAGAAACCACATGCTTAGTATTATGCCAGTAAAAAGGTTGCAGCCGTAAGCTAAGCACACGTAGGCTTCTAGTAGGAACATTTGCCCAAATCGCTAAACAGAATGATGAGGTCTTTGATAAATATGCCCAATTATTTATTCTTGGGATCAAGTCACCGATAAATGGTAGTATTGATTTTTGTCTTGGGATTCCTTTATCCTAGACACAAGTGGTAGTGTCTTTTTTAAATTTTAAATTACTTAGTGTTTATAATTTTCCATGAATATTCTATAGCTACATTGGAAATTTCCAATGTAGGAAAGGTCGTGTCTTGTCAAATTTGATCCTGAATCTGCTAGTCATATAGTCAGTCGACACTGACAATTTATAGTTTTTTTACTATGGAAAAATAATCGGGAAATTTTTTGTTACAATTCTGTGATGTGCCGATTAGTTTCACAGATTCACATATGTGTGAATTAAAGTTCACCCCACCTTGGTAGACATTTCTTATACATACTATATAAAGGTCATGTTGATCTGCGATATCTGACATATATACATTGTTGCTTTTTGTTCATTGTGATTGAAAGTTGATTATGTAATGCTTGGCCATCATTATATATGTAAGATTATTTAGTAGTTGCCAGTCAAATTTGTGCAATCAAGAAATACATAACGCACAGCATATAATTGTAACAATGTCGTTTATACTACTAAATAAAATACTACGTTTTCAATAAACTGAACCATTTTATTGTCCTATCAGTCCTTGAATTTTGTCCTTTGTCTTTAAAAGACTTTAATTTTTCCTTTTGTCATTGAAAGTCCTTGGAAATAGGTCCAAGTTCTTATTTTTTTGTCTTATGTCCTGGAATTTTACATTTTAACCTTGAAATGTCCTTGAAGTCTTGAAGAAATAATTCACACTTTTGTGGGAACCATGTACTGAGTACCTAGCTAGCAGTAATAATGGTAAAAACCTAGCAGTACCATATAGAATGAAACATCACGAAAAACCAAGAAAAAACTAATAATACCTATTAATTCAATATCTGATATTCTATCTATTTCTATCTATCCATATCTGATAGGTCTATCTATTTATATGGTACTTTAATCTATATCCTATCAGGTTATTTTTTCTCGGGAAGAAGTGATCCCCCTCTCCCAAATGTTATCGCCTACGACCTCGTTAGCACGGTAAATTTTATTCAGGCAAATGGCTGGTTTTCAGCCTCAACCTTTTCACCCCCAAAGCACCAAATATGATTATACTGCTCTAATATGCGTTTTCACAATCACACAAACACATTAACGGACGCGCACACGCGGTTAGGGTCGCACGCACGCGTGCGCGTGTATTATAGGCGTAAATTAATATTTTGTGCCTCGTGGGGGGAGTTTCGGCTAGTAGGGGACTAAGGAATTGAGCAAGGGAAAGAAACGGAAAAAGGCGAATATATATGTATACTAATAGTCAAGACTAATAATACATAGAAGTGTAGCAACGGAAAAAGCGGAAAATAGTGCTTAATTTCACGACTACATTATTCTACTTGCCTGCGAGTTGCGTAGAATAATTTGCATGGTATTGGCAATTAAGCCCAGAATTTCTTTGCTCTCTAAACAATGACCAGCACCGCGTTGTCAATATCAGATACTCCTAGGCGGAGAATCATCGGCTCCCTAAAATCCCCTCTAGGGGTGTCACAATGCAAAACGCCAAATCTAGTCGTATCCTACTTCTGGCCACCATCCTGAGGTCACGCGGTAAGGTTCGGCATGTTGGCTATCGGTTTCCGTCATCTCACATCTGGAGCGCTGATAAATTGAATGTCATAGAAGTGACGCCAAATTTGGTACTGTTACTACACTGTAGTAAATGAGTGCTGCGGTTGTAAACAACTTGATGGACCGGCTCCATCATGACGCGCCATGTTAGCCGTGCTAGGACAAAGATAAGGGCAGAGGCGAATGCCGCCGCGAATGTTCATCCTATATGATACCGAAGCACCGTCCATTCATTAAATTTATCCGGCGAAAAAGCCGAACTTGACTTCGTGAAAGCTAGCCACGCTGTGTAGGATGTGTGCAGAAGTGTGTATATCGAAGGTGCGTATTGGCATGTGGGAGGGAACGGAGGTTTTAGGAGGACCGATATCTCGCCATAGGGAGTATCGTATTGACATTAAAAGCGGTTGGTACTGTTTAGAGAGTCAAAGAATTCTGCTTAATGCAATACCCATGAAATTATTCTAGACTCGCAGGCAAAGTAGAATAATGTTAGTCGGTAGATTAGCACTAGATTCCACCGTTTTTTCCGTTGTACACACCTAGAGGGTATTATTGAGCTCTTGAATATATATATAATGTACACAATTAGGCGCCCGAGAAAGAGAGAAAAAATTGGCGGAGATACAGAGAGAGAGAGTGAGAGAGAGAGAGAGAGTGTGTGCGTGTATGTGTGCGTGCGCGCGTGCGTGAAAAGAAATATTGCGGGAGAGAGAGGGTGTGTGTGTGTGTGTGTGTGAGAGAGAGAGAGAGAGAGAGAGAGATGAGAGAGAGAGAGAGAGAGAGCGAGTGTGCTGTTCGTGTGTGTGTGTGTGTGTGTGTGTGTGTGGCGTGGTGTGCGTGGCCGTGGCGTGCGTGCGTCGCCGTGCGTGCGTGCGTGCGTGCGTGCGGGCTTGTTTGTGTGTGTGTTGTGTGTGTGTGTGTGACAGAAGCGAGAGAGGAGTGAGAGTCACGAGAGGGAGAGGTGAGAGTAGTCACGGAAAGGAGAGGGTGAGAGTCACTGGTTGTTTGTTTTAAATAATAGAAGGGACGAGCGGAATGAGAGTATCACGGAGAGGGAGAAGGAGTGAGAGGGAGTATGAAGTGCGAGATGGGAGTAACTAATACTTAGGAAGGAATAATTGTGGCATGGTCTGTCCCCGTGTCGTGTGTCTATGCCGTTTGTGGCCGTGATACCGTAGCATTTGTCTGCGCGTGTGTAATGCCCATACGTGTGCACTTCTCGTCTGCATTCTGTCGCATCCCTCCGTCCCTCGCTCCTTTTTCTTCCTCCTCTTTCCTTCTGCCTCTGGCTCTCACTCCCTTCCCCTGCTATCATTCCTCCCAAACTCTCGCGGATAGTAATCGAGGAGCGCTGGCACGGGACATCAGGTGCGAGACGGTGAAAAGTAGAACACTCAAGGTCCAAATAGCCGGTATTGCGAGCCTCTTACTACATTTTTCAAGACCCGCAACTCAGCAAAATATGATTTTACGGCTACAATACGGCGTTTTAAAAGCCAGTCACACAGACCAACATAAATCACACACACATAGACCATCAACGGACGGCGACAAAACGCGGGTATGGTCGCCACGCTAGGTCGCCGATGCGCGTCGTATTATGCGTGAATTCACTGATATATTGGTTGGCGTCTGGGAGTGAGTGAAAATGTTTCGGTTGAAATACAGTCATGTTGCTCGCAAAACTTATTCAAGCAGTGTTCTTGCGCCGATGAGAGCGGGAAACCCATCCGCGAGAGTCGAAGTAAAGATGAGAGTGATTACTATTATTCCCGCTGTTAATCTTACTGCTGACACAGCAGATGAAAGGTCAGCATAAAGAACGCGGCAATTTTTATTATAATATTAATAGATTCATTATTGAACATTAAATCTTTTATTGCTATGTAATACACACTGCAAAACATGTAACATAATAAAGACAGATCTTTTTCATTGGAGAAAAAAACTACTGGAATGGCAATAGTGTTGTGGTAGAGAGAAATATAGTATGGCACTTAAAATACTATTATATTTTTCGTATGTTACTCAAATACGTATTCATTATGTTGATATGGTAATACATGGTTCTGAGTGATATATGTTACATCAAAGCTTTAAAGGACTGGGACATGAATCTACGTGAATGACAATAATGAATATGAAAACTGACTACTCGACTAATCCGGATATGATATTGTAAATTCCTAAAGCGTATATATGATGATCCTCTAAAAAGTGACTAAAACTACTTGTCACAGATTGTCCTTTGAAAAAATAATTCACCCTTTTGTGGGAACCATGTTTATTGGTATAGATAGAATAAGATTAAAATTTCGCAGTGCATTGCTTCGCCAAATGCTCTCCGTTACTGCAGATGTACGAAATAATAACACTGCTAAATAAATTTTAGGTTTTCAAATAAACGAGCTTTATTGGTACAAACATTCAATTGCTAATGCACGAGCAACATTGATCGTGGCCCGCACAGAAACATACACGCAACAAAGGACCGCTTTACCAGTAGTTTAGGAAAATCTGGCTACACATAATATATACAACCATGGACATGGTACGACGGTCGCAACATGACACGGTGCCTTGGGCGAGAGATGGCGCCACCATGAGAGAAACGGTGTTTAACACAACAAGCAACCAAGCAAGCAACAAGTGAGAACCATGGGAAGAAATAAACAGATGAGACTGGTCAGATGCGCCCATCACTGCAGTTTGCAACTTTGTATAAGCGGTGTATATTCCCAAATGATGGAAATAACATATTTGTAAACGTTTGCTCTATCGCGTGCGGAAATATACACGACTTTCACCGTATTGTAAATGGTGAGATCTGCACGATATGTAATTGCAATAGTTCGCCTGATCTTAACGTGGAAGACGTATAAGCTCATAGCGCCCCCTGGTGTGGTGTAGCATTAACAAACAATAGTGAACATGAAATCTATGAGTAATAGCAGCAGCATGCACAGAGATGCAGTAGAAGTAGATGTATGGCCTCAGTGAGAGCGATCGCCAAACACTAAAAAAACAATTATGGGTTAGTTCAGACCCTCAGTTAATAGCCACACTATCGAATGTGTTAACGTCCAAAAAAATGAGTAAAAAAGAGGGTGTTCATGCATTCCATCGCTTACTGAATTGGCAACAATAGCTTCCTATGTACAGTGAGTGTCGTCACAATATACACACATGAGGAGTCCCAGAGCAAGACGAATTTTTAGGGAAATCACAGCTCTACAACAGATCAGGAATATCTACACATGTACATGACATCCGCCTGTGTATCAACAACCAACCCGATAGATGGCAAGTCTTAAATCACTAGAGAACTGAAGTGGTGGCTAATTTGGTACTGCATTTTGTTACAAAGCAGAGGTGACACCACTGTCAATACCGACACCACTGTGCAATGATCCCAATGGATAACTCTAGACTCCCTTACATTTTCACAGAAAAAATAGGTTTACTTTCCTGCCACAAACGCTTTAGTAATAAATGTGCAAAGGAGGCCGTCATTCGCTCACTGCGAATACACATCCTGCACCCTCCTTTTGTATTACCCTACGTTACCTTCATCACCAATACCAATCGCCTGCTTTCCTTTTCCATCTTGTAAACATATCTAGCTAGACGATTAAAGAGATATTTTGCACGAATCATATATACACAGAGAATTTAATCAAACACAATCACACGCACGCACCAGTACACAAACACCCACCTTCTCCACAACCAAGAGTTACACCGTTGTGAGATCACTTGAGATCTTTACCCATTAGGTATAAGCAAGCATGTAGCATGGTGTAACATTTTACCAGGGTGTACAAAGTTAGTGGTGTAAGCCGACAGCATCAGTTGTTTGCAATGCTTACAATAGATGTGTGCAGACGTCATTCCTATACATCTTATTCCCACCAAGCAGACATCTGTAGAATCGGCCATGACAGTTTACTGCAGCATACACCTTTCCAGACAGACCAGGATTCAAGCGATACCGCCTTCCTGACATCGGCCCTAGCAGACCCTTATTGTAGCAACCCTCCAATATAGCACAGACAATATCCGCTAGAATCTATCCTCACAGGCAGGTGTTTCTCATCGCAGCCCTCCTACACAACAATCTCTTTCTTGGTATTCCTCCTCCATTGCAGGCCATCGCAGCTCTCACTTGTAGACTGTTCCAGTTTTAAGACTTTTACTGATCAATGTCAGTTGTAAACACATCCGCTGGACAATCCAATGACTTGGGATGTTGGCTCTGGAGTAACAAATGTACATCCATATATATGTATATGCACACAATTGTACGCTGTCTCGGTAAAAAAGCAACGACAAATTAATACGATAAACCTTCATGACAGCTACACCTTGGGAACATTTAACTACCGGATGCTGTAGGTTTCCCCTCTATGAGGTCATGACCTTTGTAGTTTAGTTATATCAGCCCTACCCCAACTGTAATACAAAACACTGATGATTGTCTCCAGACTACTAGACTCCTCTCAAACAGTGACAAACTCTGTACACTAGCTGCTGCCCTTACTTTATGTTTTGAGCAGAGAAGAGAGAAGTTATCCTCGTCTAAGGAGCATCCTGCAAGACAAACAACAATGATGAAATACACTCAAATTTCTTCATATTCACACAGCACGTCATTTCCTACCAAGAAAAACTAACAAACCAAGGACAGCCAACTAACGAACCAAGGATAAACAACTATTAACATGACGATGACCTGCCCACCTTTCCTGACTGCGCAGCCGTAGTGGTACTGGTCTCTGCATCCCTTGCTGTGACATCCAATAGTGGCACCAGGCTCCTTACATAATGTGCAATGCTGAAGCAAAAAATTTCTCTATCAAGTCTAGTCATCATTACTGGAAATCATAACCATCCCCCTCCCACTCCCATTCAAGCATCCACATTGACACCAAATCCATGCAAAAACAAAAGCACAACGTAATTACTGCATAAGTACGCAACTCAAAGCCAGTAAAATTCACCCTTTTCAAATGCTTATTTTTGCTAAATCGCCCCCCCCCTCAAATTATTGTCCCAATACCCACGTTCTTGGAGTCTGTTTCAACCTTACACTTTCATTAACAACAAACACCCGTCGTTGTTCCCACTAACAGATATTCTTGACGATTTTTGATAATAGCAATGTACTCATCCTCGTGCAAATAATCACAATTTCAATGCACAACATCGGCATCACCTCGTTCTCGCTCGCGAACTATCGCACGCTCGCACGCACGCACACGTACCATGTTTCTCGCCTCGATGACGGTGTCTCTCAGCCCGCACAAGCTCTCGCCGACCGCGTGCACGCCGTGTGCCCACAGCACGCACGGCTCGTGCACCCACACCTCCTCCGTGTCCTTGCCGCGCTTCCGCTTGCCGGGGATCCCTGCCGTCGCGCGCTCCACGTAGTACGGCCCGAACAGATCTCCGAGCTGCCACTCGTTGCTGCGCTTCCCACACAGCGAACACGTCCAGTGCTTTGTCGACGTGTCAACAGATGGCGCCAGCAGGTCGCGTGTGTGGCTGCGGCGGCGGCGCGATGCCTCGTCCGCATCCTCGTGCACCATGTTGACGACGCGGCACGACGCCGGACTCGCGCGCGCCCCTACGACGCACACGTACGGCCCGACAAACTTCTTGCCACCGCGGGGCGCCACCGTCGACCTTTTCTTCGCCTTGCGCTGGAACTTGGCGGCAATGCGCCTCTCCTCGCCATCGCTCTCCATCACAAACGCCTTCCTCTTGCGGCCCCTCTTCTTGCCCGCCCCCGCTGCCGGTTTCTTCAAGCCGACGACCTTCTTCTTCTTTGCCAGCTTTTTCCTCGGTTTGCGAGGTGCCTCTTGTTCAGAGTCGCTCTCGGATGGAAAGGACGCCCTCCGCTTGCGCTTTGCTGCAGCGCCACCTGGTGGGGCCTTCGCTGTTCGTGGCGGAGGTGACGTCTTTTCCTCCTTAACCAGCAGCGGCGTCTGGTTGGGGGACGGTGGACGTTTCTGCAAGGGCACCTGTTTGGATAACGTCGTCTGTTTTGGTGGCAAGAGCGTCTCCTTGGCGGACGTCGTCTGTTTTGGTGGCAAAGGCGCCTGCTTAGGGGAAGACGCCCGCTTTGGCAACGCCACCTGCTTGGCCAAGGTCATCTGCTTGACCGACGACGCCGCATGCTTGACCGACGGCGTCTGCTTGAGCGTGGTCGCCGCCGGCTTTGCATTCATCTTCTGAATCTCGTTCTTCACCGACTGCGGGAGACCCTCGAGCCTCTCCTCCAGCGTCTTCCCGTCCACCGACGCACCTTCCTTCACCTCTTTCCCGCCGGCCGCCGCCGCGAGGGCGCCACTGTTGCTGGCTGCGGCGGCGGCCTGCTTGCGCTCGCGCGCCTCCTTGCGTAGGCCGACGAGGGCGCTGCGCATGGCGACGCGCGTCGCGGCGTCGGCGCGCGCGTACGGCGAAGTCGAGCGACGCTTGGCGCGCTGCTCCTGCTGCACGGCCACCTCCACCGCCCGGTTCGTCTCGTCCAGCGTCCGCGCCACCGACAGTATCTCGTGCACGGCGTCGCGCCCGGCGGCGCTCTCCGGTGGCGGGTCGACGAGCGCGACACGAGGCTTCTCGCTGCTCTGTAGTCGGTTCGTCTTGAACGCGGGCCGCGGCGGCGGCACGGCGGCGGCGTCGGTGTCTCGCGGCGGGGAGCGGTACGACCACGTCGTCTTGTAGCGCGCCGTGCGTCGCGACTGCTCCGCCGGGCGCCGCCGATCACTCGGGGGCGCCACCGGCACGTCCGTCGTCACCGCCGCGTCTCGCTCGGGCGTCTTATCGGCAGTTTTGCGATCGACTTTCGTTAGATCGTTCGGCGGCGGCGGCGGCAGCAGCGGTGGCTGCCGCTCGGTCGGGCTGAATTTCGGCGCGTATACATAGCGCGCCTTCTTCTGCGGCCGCATCTCGGGCACGCGCGCCGCCCGCCCCGACCTCTCGCGGTCGCCGTCCGCCGGCCGTGACCTCGGGTCAGCCGGCGCTTGCAGCGACCCTTGCTGCGTGCGAGCGTCCGACGTCTGCGTGTCACGACCTGCCGACCCCGCGACCCCAGCCGGCCTTGACCTCCGCTCGTCCCTCGTCTCCGCCCTCGGCGTCGCTTGCGGCCGGACCTTGACCGTCGCGGGCCGGCCGTCCGCGGACTGACCGTCGCGACGCAGCGTCGGCGTCGGCAGCAGCGCTGGCGCCTTGCCCTTGCCCTCGTTCTCGAGCAGCGGCGGCGACGACGGCGCGCCGCCGCCCGCGTCGTTGTCCGTCGCCGCGGCGATCGGCGACAGCTGCGGCGCGGGGCTTCCTCCATCGTCGGCGACGGGCGGCACGTGATCGGTCATCTTCTGCAGGGAGGAGAGCGGATCCGCCGGGCCAGCATCCTTCACGGGTTTCGCGTCGTTGCCGTCCGCCGCCAGGTTCAACGCTAGCGCCCGCTGCGAGCGCTGCATGACGTGCCAGTCGCTCGGCAGCGACGAGGTTTTCGTTACGGAGGTGACCGGCCGTGGCACGCAGTTCTGATCTGTGAAAGCATACAAACGTTAGTTGCCGTTGCCACGACTACCGTCGTTATTCTGTACGCGAGGCTGCAGAAAACTTGCTGAAATCACACTACTCAGCGCATGCAATCACATCACACGCTAATTAGGGAACAACCAGAGCGCATTAGTTGCTGTTAAGTGCATCCGGAAAGTATTTTCGGGATGTAATACAGAGACGACGCGATAACAAATGTAACGCGCACGTCGCTCACATGCACGCACGCTCACTCGCTCGCACTCACGTTTCATGCTCACACGCACGCTCGCACGCTCACACGCACGCTCACTCACACGCACGCTCGCTCGCTCGCACTCACGTCTCATGCTCACACGCACGCACGCTCACACGCACGCACGCATGCTCACTCGCACGCACGCTCACACGCACGCACTCACGCTCACACGCACGCACGCTCGCTCGCTCGCACTCACGCTCGCTCACACGCACGCACGCATGCTCACACGCACGCACACACGCTCACACGCACGCACGCTCACATGCACGCACGCACGCTCACTCTCTCGCACGCTCACACGCACGGTCACTCGCACTCACGCTCACTCGCTAGTACGCTCACTCACTCGCTCGCACTCACGCTCACACGCACGCACGCTCACACGCACGCAAGCTCACTCGCTCGCACTCACGCTCACTCGCTCGCCTGCTCGCTCACATGCACGCACGCTCACATGCACTCACGCTCACACGCACGCACACACGCTCACTCGCTCGCACTCACGCTCACACGCACGCACGCTCACACGCACGCAAGCTCACTCGCTCGCACTCACGCTCACTCGCTCGCCTGCTCGCTCACATGCACGCACGCTCACATGCACTCACGCTCACACGCACGCACACACGCTCACTCGCTCGCACTCACGCTCACACGCACGCACGCTCACACGCACGCAAGCTCACTCGCTCGCACTCACGCTCACTCGCTCGCCTGCTCGCTCACATGCACGCACGCTCACATGCACTCACGCTCACACGCACGCACACACGCTCACTCGCTCGCACTCACGCTCACACGCACGCACGCTCACACGCACGCAAGCTCACTCGCTCGCACTCACGCTCACTCGCTTGCCTGCTCGCTCACATGCACGCACGCTCACATGCACGCACGCACACACGCTCGCACACACGCTCACTCGCTCGCACTCACGCTCACACGC